CGCACGCGATATCGTACGCGTGGAATTAAAACAACTGAATAGCCTATGTGTTCTTCCAAACTATCTACATCTATACCAAATTTCATCGAAATCCGTTCAGCCGTTTATATAAACTCTTACAAACATCCATCCATCTAAACTGCCGCTTTTATATTAGTATGATTTGTATGTAGAATGATATTAGCTTATCCCTTCCATGAATAACAGTGGTAGTGCCCGCTTTAACATCTTAGCACTACAGGGCCGGCACGCCCGGTGTAATACCACGATCACACAGAAGACAGGCGTGAAGTAGAAGCAATTCCGTGTTTCGTCTGATGAGTGTGGTGCCAGGGGCCTAATTTAAATCCCTTTCTCGATACCACCCTTTTCTTATAAGGAGAGGATGGGAAGGGGAATTGGATTTGACGGTGGAGGAGACGCATAGGAATGGAAAATATCCACTTTATGTGCGTCTCCTCCTCCGTCGGATAAAGATAGACAACGCATCTACAATTGCGAATGTCTATGGGCAGCGGTCGCTTCGCCATTCTGGCGAATTCAGGTGGCCGCTTGCTCGTTTGTCATCTTATAATATAAAAAAAAAAGAGTAGTTAGCTCTGCGATATCAAGATTCGCATGACCTTAGGTACAACAATAGCCATTAGTATTAAAAAAATTGTTATTCCAAGTACGAGATTGAAATTTCTGCTACTTCTATATGTTCTACTAAAGAAGTTCGTGGTATTCCTCTTTGGGAATAACGGCCTTGTTTATTGCAACGAGACAAACTACGCATTCAATCAAATACAGAACTAATAAGAGTGCAAAATAGTAATGAAAAGAAACAAATCTTGTATAACTGATCTTTACCGTACAGAAATATTTAAAAGCTGCTTTGTAATGATTTTTGGTCTGCATCTCATTTAAAAGTGTTCAAACGATGGTAGCTTAACGACAGAACACAACCATATTCCCCTACTGTACCTTATTAGTAATAATGTGAATTTCAGATTACACGGAGGAGATAATGTTCAAATAAAGCGTTACTTCGTATCCTTCTGGAATGGTGTCGACCTCCGATATAAATTGTTGAAAGGGCCCAGAATAAGGATATCTATCGCCGGTATTATTATATCTAGGGTAAGTTTTATTATGTACTTTTAATTCCATGCACCACATTTTTATCTTACAAGATAATTTTTTTACGGAATGACGGCTAAATGCTTTTTTTAAAGAAAACAAGGTCAGAACAAATAAATGCGTACAATCTAAAATTTCAACTTTTTATTTTTTTTTATTCTATTGTTGTGACATTAATTTGAAATTAACCATTTCGTCTGTTTCAATACAAAGTTCTTCTAGAAAATTCTTTTTGGATTTCGGGTAGCCTTCGAGTACTGCTTCAAGCATATCGGAGCAAAGCCTTTTACGTTTCCTAAAAAAAAGGGCAAAGATTAAAAAATCGTGTTGCTAAAATAGATGTCACATACTCTATGAAATCTCCAACATTAACTGCTAATTATTTTTAAATTATACCTATATTCTTTTAAATATCCACCATGTTTATCCATTATAGTTTTTTTAGCATCCGCACTGATGACTTCGGTTGAACAACGCAACGATTCCAATTTATTTTCTAATCGGCTAATATTATTTTTCATTTCGTCTATCTGTGAATTAGCAGTTTCCGTTGTGGGCGTTGACAGTAACTTTTTAAGTTTCGTCTCCGATTCTTTTAACGCGTTATTCTTTTCGGCCAGTTCTTGGGTGACGAGTTTAAATTGCGAATCGTAATCTGTGAAAAAAACAATGACCTTGTTTAAAAATCGATTTAAAAAAAGAACAATCTCGATTTAAGTTAAATTGATAAACAATTTTCAAACCGGTTTTCAGAAAAATAATGACTTGATGATAATTTAACAGATGTTCTATTCATCACCTTTTCGTCTAGTGGTTAGCAATACATAATAGAAAAAGG